TTAAAAAAAAAAAAAAGAGTGGCAATCCTTCGCCGGGCCGATGAGAAAACCATTCTCATGACCACCTCCCCTGTTCAGATGAGAACACTAGACCCCTAGGAGCTCTAGATCCTTCTCTCCAGAGCGTGTTTTCTCAGCTCACTATTATCCAGCAACTTCAACCCTTGCCTAGCATTTAGTCCTTTTTCTGGACTGAAAGCTTCACAGGGGACCATGTCTGCTTTTGCTCACCCTGGGATCCCAGGGACCAGCCGGACACCTGGCACGCGAACGAATGAAACACAGCCCGCAATCACACTGCTGGTCAGACCCACGCCTTTCTGAGCACCTTCTCCTCCTAAATCAGTGCTGCTCAGACTGAAAGAAGGAATTCTTCAGGAGGAAAGAGACAAGTTCATCCAGGAGGCAACACCTTCTTGGAACACAGACATGACATAAATTTAAGAATAAAGAGCAGGCACGGGAGAGGGAGGGAGCTAGAAGGTGCTGGCTCCTCGGTGGCCCATCCCCTCTGGTACTGGACAGGCTCCCAGAGCGCATGATCATGAAGGGGGCAGTGCAGGCTGGGACTGGCCCGGACTGGCTGCCCCAGGCTGTTATCGCTTGCGGGGCCAGAGCCTAAATTGGGGCAAACGTGGGCTGTTAAGGTGCCAGAACCAGCACCTGGAAGCGCTGAGAAGGAGATGGGCCCCAGGTCGCGACAGCTCTGTGTCCCCTCCTGCCCAGGGCTCGCACACAGGAACCACTGTCTCCCCAAATCGAGCCTGAGTTCTAAAGACTGGAAGAAGCTGCCTGCGAGTGGCCACCCCTAGGGCGGGCACTGCACTTGCCTGCTTCAGAGCATTTCCCTAATGGATCCCTCACTTGCCTGGGAGGGATCACTGGTCCCAGTTTACAGGGGAGGAGCCCCAGTGAGGCAGGAGTGGCTGTGCTGAGGCCGCGTGCCTCGTGGAGATGGAGAACAGCTGAAAACCTAGAACTCCCAGCCCCAGCCTGGCCAGATCCACGTGCCTTGGGTCAGGGTTTGCACTGGTGCCTAGGACGTGGGGCCACTCAGGAGGGCTGAGTCCCATGCCCTTGTTTCTTGGCCAGGAGCCTAGACTGACCCTGGCTGACCTTGCTCATGCACCCAGGCCCCTCTAATCAGAAGCAGCCTTCGTGCGTTTCTCTCTGCTCAGGGGGAGGCTCCGAGAAGCAGGCATTAGGAGGAGTCAGGTGACACGGGGAGTCTGATTTGCCAAACAGCTCTGGACCCATGGGCCGTCCCAGAAGCAACAGGGATCAGAGGACACTTAGGCGCAAAAGAAGCTGGGTCCCTGCACCCCGGACACCCTCTGATTTTGAGCTGTAACCATCATTACTGTAGCTGATACACAGTCATGATGGGCAGTTGTCACAACCGGCGGAGGTTCGGGAGGGACGCCACGTGCCCGGTCACCCGGGCTGTCTTTACCCGCAGGCGTTAACGGCAGCCAGCAGAGGTACTGTGCACTTGGCCTGTCCTCTTTGGACTTTCCACACAGCCTTTGGGGACCCTGGAAATGCTGCCACTTGTCCCTCAGGAGGGGTCCAAGATGCTGTCTGCTGCTTTTTACACTGACTCATTGCCCAGATTTAAAAATTGGGAGACTCATGGGGCACCTGGGTGGTTCAGGTCGTGATCTCAGGGTCCCGGGATGGAGCCCCACATCGGGCTCCCTGCTCAGCGGGGAGCCTGCTTCTCCCTCTGCTTGCCGCTCCCCTTGCTTGTGCTCTCTCTCTCCCTCAAATAAATCTTTAGAAAAAATTTTAAAAAATAATAAAAATTGGGAGATTCACACAAAAATCCTAGTAAGAGAAGGGACTTCTTTAACCAATGTGCTGGTTAGTGCTGGTTAACAAAGATTAGGGTTGAGGCCCCCAGATCTGTGTTCTGGCTAAATCTCAATTGCTGGCTTGAGGATCTGGCTAGCCAGGGCCTTTGGGAAGGGTGAGGCATGCGGCCTCAAGGCTCCACCACACAAGTAATTTGAGGTCCAGTATCTGAGATGCCCTGAAGGCCTCCACTCTGCCCTCTAGCACATTTCCCATGGCTGCCTTCTGCATGAAATCCAAACTCCTGCCCACACTCTACCAGCCTCACGGGGTCTGGGCCCTGCCAGACTCCCTTCATCCTGGGCTCCTCTCCCCTTGGCTCGCGGTGCTCCACCACCCTACCCTTCATTTTGCTTTTCACCAAAGCCTGGTCCATTCCTACTCAGGGCCTTTGCACACATACTGCCTGGCACACACCCGCCCCCAACTCTTCCCATGGCTGGTCTTGTTGGTCATCTGGTTTCAGCTCACATGTGGCTTCTGCCTACTTCTGTCTATTCCTCCAGCTCCTTTCTTTCCTCACCAGCCTCATCACATCACAGCTGAAGACCCGGGCCGGAGTCCTGACTCCGCCAATTCCTTAGGGTATGACCTCAGGCACGGCTCCTAAGTTGACTGCTTTGGCTTCCTCACCTGTCACAGGGTCATAATATCCCCACCTCACCAGGTCGCCGCGAGGGCCTGGCTCAGAGTAAGCACGTGACCCCACAGCAGCCAGTGTTGCTGCCCTCCATTATCATGTCCCCCCGAACCTACTCTTCTGGCTGATGCTGAGATTTGTTTTGTGGCATCTGTAGCCCAAATGAATGCCTCCAGGCCAAAGCAGGCCCCGGTTACAAACAGGCCACAGCTGTGGTCTCGCATCTTACATTGAGCCGGCTCCCCATTCTGTGCACCCTCCTTTCAACCAGGGGCCTCACGACTTCACCTGGAGCCCTGCTCGTGGGAAAGCTGTTCTTCAAAGGAACAGAGCACATACGAACTGGCTGGAAAAGAGGCTCAGGCCACCCTGGCCTTGGGGACTTTATGGCTTGCTCAGAGCAGTCACCCTCTAAAACCCCCTCCTTGATGAAAGCAGGACCCCCCTCCCACCACCACCACTCACTCACTTCCCCATAAATCTGCTTCTTATAAAACTCGACTTGGGCGCCGGGTCCTCATTTTGGGCAGCTCGACCCCACAGCCCCACAGCCCCGCAGCTGGGAGGCCTCACGGGTGCAGCTGCGGTGAGCGTCCAGGGACCACAGAGCTTGGCCTTCGCATCCTTCTGGGAACACAGCAGTGTGGGGACTATCAGGCCTGTCTTGTCTCTGAGGAAACTGCCTAAATAAGCACCAAGCACTGAGAGGCGTCCAGTAAAGCAGTTGTGCTTCTCTGCCTTGGGCTTTGTACTTTTAAATATTTTCCTCTTTTCTTTCTCAGGAATTGCTTTCCGGTAAAAAGCACACCCAGCGTCCCCAAGCCTCGCCTTGCAAACTCTGTAACTCTAGTGCATGCAGGAGCCCTCACGCCTGAGGTCCCGTCCCATCCTCCAAAGACCCTGGTGGGTCAGTGCCACATCTCCACTTTGTGCGTGAGGACGCTGAGGGGTTCAGAGCGGTAGGGGCTTCCCCGGCAGGGAGCCGCAGAGCTGGAGTCACACCCACCCAGCTGCCTCTGAGCCCAAGGTTCTGTCCCCACCTTTCAGTGTGAGCCACTCCCTGGTCTCCTGCTGGTGCCACAGTCACAAGCCAGGCCCCTCCCACACCTCCTCCTTGGGGGCTGGGCTCAGGCTGGGGCCATGTGGCTGTCCTGGCCTCCTTCCCCATCTACTCTTTTTTTTTTTTTTCCTTATTAAACTTTTGTTTTAATGGGTCTCAAAATTCTGTGACAAATTTCTGGCCAAGTTGTTTCCATTAGCAAGTATTGATTTATAAAAAAACGGATAATTTAAAACCACCACTCTCGTGAGCGCACACACTGGCCGGGCCCCAGGAGCGCTGGCTCTCGCCCGTGCCCACAGCCCCCTCGGCTGCAGCACAGAGCCTGCCTCGAGATTCCAGACCTTGCCATTATCTTAAGCAAGATACGCCTCTAAGCCTCCGTAAATGCTGTTCCCTCTACCTAGAAGCCCCTCTCCTCTAGGCATGGGGTCCTGCCTTCTGGCCCGCTGTCCTACCTCGCGGTCCTGCTGCCCTGGGCCTAAACCCTGGCCACCCCTCCCCTGAAACCAAGGCCCTTCACCTGCTGGGCTTGGCTAGAGGCCCGGTTCTGTCCCAGCCTGGGGCTGTGCCAGGCTACTCCAGCACTCCGGCCGGCCTGCCGCCCCACCCAGCACCCAGGGGCCGCAGGCTCTGGACCACAAGGACCCTCGGCTGGCTGGTGGCCCAGGTAACGTGCAGAGCCCGAGAAACTGGCGCTCGGCCTGGTCAGACCTCCAGCTCACCTTGGGGAAGGGGGACCACGGAGGATGGGGCCCCCCTCTTCCTGGCCACAGCCGGCCTTCAGCCCAGAAAGGAAAACAGCTTCTCTGGTCACATCTGCCCATTTGCGGCCCCACCTCGCCTCCACATAAAAACAACACCAGGAGCACCAACAGCCCTGGTGTAGTGGGCGGCGGGCGGGAGCTGGGAGGAGTTCTGTGCAGAACCAACACCGGAAGCACAAAACAGCCATTCAGGCCACCACCCAAATTCCCTGCCTGGACCCTGAGGCCCCTGGAATCAGGACATGGAGAAGGGAGTTTCCAGGGGCCGCCTGTTTCTGGGGGCGTGGGCTGGGAGGCGTGCCCGGTCAGCCTGGGCAGTACTCACCGTTGGAGCGGTGGATGCAGGTATGCTGGTTGTCGCTGAGGAAAAAGCCACTGTGGCACTGACACTCGTAGCTGCCCATGGCATTGACGCAGATCTGCTGGCAGCCGCCATTGTTGTCCTGACACTCGTCCACATCTGCAAGAAGAGAGAAGGCGACAGGAGAAATCACACCTGGTGCTGCAAGTGGGATGAGATCTGTTGGGAGGGCACGGATGGGATCAGTTTCCCCAGGCTGCACAGAAGGCACTGCACAGAGTGGAACTACAGTGATACTCCACAGAAGTACTCCATGTGGTACTGCACAGTGGTACTGCACAGAGGTGCACTGCAGTGATACTCCACAGAAGTACTCCATGTGGTACTGCACAGCGGTACTGCACAGAGCCACACTGCGGTGATACTCCACACAAGTACTCCATGTGGTACTGCACAGAATGATACTACAGCAATACTCAGATGTACTACATGGTAATGCTGCACAGAGTGAACTATGGATACTCCATAGATGTACCCCATGTGGTACTCCACAGAGCTACATCGTACAGTGACACTCCACAGAGGTACTCCATGATGGTACTGCATAGTGGTACTGCACAGAGCTATACTACAGTGATATTCCACAGATATACTCCATGTGGTACTCCACAGTACTACACAATAGTGACACTCCACAGAGGTACTCCTTGGCAGTACTCTATGGTATGGCATAGAATGATACTAGTTATACTCCACAGATGTACTCCATGTGGTACTTTAAAGATTTTATTTATTTTGACAGAGAGAGAGACAGCGAGAGAGGGAACACAAGCAGGGCAAGTGGGAGAGGGAGAAGCAGGCTTCCCGCCGAGCAGGGAGCCCGATGCGGGGCTCGATCCCAGGACCCTGGGATCATGACCTGAGCTGAAGGCAGATGCTTAACCGACTGAGCCACCCAGGAGCCCCTCCATGTGGTGCTTTAGAGAGCTAACCTACGGTGATACTCCACAGAGGTACTCCATGGTGATCCTGCACAGAGCTATAGTATGGTGATACTCCACAGATGTACTGAATGTGGTACATCATTCAGAGTGCATACTCCAGTGCTATTCCACAGATGTACTCCATGTGGTACTCCGTGGTGACACTGCACAGAGCAATACTATGGTGATACTTCGCAGACCTACTGAATGTGGTACTGCATGGTAGCACCATAAAGGGCCATACTACCATGATATTCCATGTGATACTCCACAGCAGTACTGCACAGAACTACACGATAGTGATACTCCACAGAGGTACTCCTTGGTAGTACTCCATGGTGGTATTGCACAGAGCGATATTACAGTGATACTCCACAAAGGTACTCCATGTGGTACTCCACAGCAACACCACACAGAGCTATACTATGGTGATATTCCATAGTGGTAACTCCACGGTGGTACTCTACGGTAGTACTCCCTGGACATACTCTACATGGTACTCCACAACAGTACCCCACAGAGTTACTCCATAGAGGTAGACAGTTACAACGGTTGTAATGCTAGCTGCCCCTCAGATCCTGTGCGACCCGCACCGCTCTAGGTGTCTGACCTGTACCAACTCCTTTAATCCCCACAGCAACCCTGTAAATCAGAACCAGGTATTAGCCCATTTTAGAGATGAGGAAACTGAGGTCCAGAGGGGCAAAGTCACCTGTCTGAGGTCCCACCTGGTAGTCTGATTCCCAAATTGTGATCTCATGGATACTGCTGGATTTTCCCTCTCTAGGAAGATTGTGCGAGCTGCACTGTCTCCCCCCAATACACAGAGCCTCGCCAACCAAACTCTAATGTCCCCTCTTTCTTCAATCACACCTCAGATTTATAACCAGTAACACAAGACTTGGCAGCCCCGGAGAGGCTAGAGGACAGGGTGGCCTGCCTTCTGCCTTGCAAACTGATTTCAAAAGTCTAGAGAATGGGGAAGTTTTTAAAAGGCCCTAACCTCTGGCTGCCAAGACAGCTGCAGAAGGTCGCTAAGTGGTCTTCCCACTCTCTAGGAGAGACAGACCTCAGGGCCGACACTCAGTTTTGACCAGAGGCTGCTGGCACAAAGGGTGCTATTGGCTGAAAAGAGGCTTTATGGAGTTCTGGTCTTGAACAGAACAGCATGTTTCAATTACCGAAGTTATAACCCCCTACACTGTCAGTTTGTTTAATGAAAGAAGGGCTTCTTAAACCTTAATGTGCCATGTCTGTATTGTCACTTTAATAGGCAAAAACATGAAACCACAAGGCAAGGTGAGCTACTGGCTGCTTCTAGCCAATCCGCTGACCCCCAACACACACACAGACACACACACACACACTTTGGCACTAAGCTTTTTATGCTGTTCTTTTTAACGCAGCCATCTTTCAGTACTGGAACCAAAAGGATGTGAAAATGTCAAGAACCAGGTGGACTGACCTGCACTGAACGAGGAGAGGACTCAGCTCTGGAACGACGTCAGCTGGGTCCTACTGAGGCTTCGGGACAATGGCCCACTTCACCACCCAAGAGACCACATGGCTGCTTCTGAGGCCAGCGCCGAGGCAGGCCATCATCTCCAGCAAGCTCAAATGTCAGCTGTGTGGCGGCCGGGAGGGGGACAGAGATCTGAACTCTAAAAGCCACCAACCGTTACAGTTAAAATGGGGAAGGTGGCTCTTGCTGAGAAGAGACAGAGTGGGGTCCCAGGGGAGCTGGGAAGGCCAGAGAGGGATTATTTTGAAGACCTTTCTCCACTCAACAGAGTCTTACTTAGTGGTGGCTCCCTCAGGGCCCAGGGCTAATGTCACCCTTGCTGGCGGCACCTCCCCTCCCCTCTGCAGTGTCTGCTTCCGGGCATCTCTCCCCTGCCTGCACTAGACCATGAACGGCTCTAAGCCAGGCACCAAGTCTTGTTCATCCTACCAATAACAACGTGGAGTTAACACCCCTCGAGTGTTCATTATGTGTCAGGCATGGGGCCTCCCAAATAGCAACTCACTCCACCCTTGTAGCAGCCCTGAGTGACAAGGCTGTGGGACGCCTCCATTGTATAGAGGAGGACACCAAGACACAGACAACCAAAGTCACTTGAGCCAAGTCATACAGCTGCTTGGAGCGAAGGCCGGACTTAAACCTGCTGTCCACCTCCTGAGCTCATGCCTTTGCCCACCACGAAGCTGGCCATGCCAGCAAGCACATTCAGGCTAATGCTACGAAGAACCAGCTCCTCCTAACGTGAGCTTGAGCTGGGTGTCACCTTGAACGTGTCTGTGAAGCCCCGATGCAAATGCAAAGCCAGAGCCAGCCTGCCACAAGTCACGCACGGAGTGTCCCGGCACTCCTGGGGTTGGTCCCGTCCCCGCCCCGGGAACGCCCCAGAGAGGCACTTGCGCTGATGCGCGTGTAATGATGACATCTGCTCTGGGACTCAGTCCAGACCCCCTTCAAATCATGTTCTTTGCTGCTCTTCCCGTGGTTCTCAGAGTCTTTGCTCCATGCCTCAGCTTCCCCAGCTCTAGCAAAGGTACAATTGGTAAAAAAAAAAAAAACTGAAACAGATACAGGCCCTCGAGAATTCATGGTGTGAAAACGCTACTCGGACCCCATCATGAAGGAGCTCGCCGGTGCCACCCATCCGGCCTGGCCCCTCTCCCCACTTCCCTGGGAGCCAGGAGCCAGAGGGCTGTAGACGCTGCACATTGACAGAACTTCAGTGAGCTGGCCGAGGGACAGCGCTGTTTACACTAGCCGGGAACAATGACTCTCGAACACTGATGAATAATTTGAAACAAATGCAAGGCCGTGTAAACATTTCTTTTCCCCACTCCCAAACGACAAAGCCCCAAGATTAAGCAGGAGGGAAGAGGGGGCTGCCCCCTCTGCACCCGTTTTCCACTGTGGTCCAAACACAGGCCTCCCTCAAGCTGGACAGGAAACCATAGTCTCAGAATCCCTTTGGGCAGCCTGTGGGCATTACCAACTTCTCTAGGGGCTGGATGAGGGGCCTGATGCCCACTTCATACCCCTCACACCCCGGGGCTCAGGCCCCCAGACGGCACTCACAGTGAAGGCTGGAGTGACCAGCTGGAGGAACTGGGTCTGCGAGATGGCTACCCACGGGCCTAGAGCAGGATGTGTTGACCTGGAGCATAGCACTATGGGAACTACTTAACCCCCCGGCCCTCCTGAGGGTGGGCAGCCTGGCACACGTTGTTCCTTGGCCCGCGCAGGACTCACAAAACTCTGTGATGAGAGGTCCCGCACGGCAAAGAGGGAGCCTACACCTGGGAGTCGGACAACCTGAGTTCTGGCTCTGGCCCGTGGCAGGTGCTCAGGTCTCATCAGCCGAAGGAAGTGCAGACTGCGCCCTCCAGGAAGCCCTCCTGGAGCGCTGGAGGCACACACAGCCCTTGCTCTTCTCTCCCATGGAACTGCTCCATGCACGGACAGGCCCCGGTGTGGGAGTCCCACGGCCCCACGCCCCCACCAGGGCCGAGCATCAGGGTTGGCTGCGCAGGGCTGGCAGCCTGGACATAGAGGCCAGTCCTCGCTGCCAGCCGGGGTGCTCAGGGTCTGTCCTCACAGATCTGCGCCAGAGCTCCACCCTGGGGGCGGTATTCCTACCAGACAGATGCTCAGATGAGAAAATGGAGGCCTAGGGAGGAGAAGGGATATGCCTAATGCTATAAAACAGGAAGAAGAGAGATTCGATGCCTGATGAGCGTGGATCCAAGGCCTTGCCCTGCTCTTCTGTGATCCGGCTTCTCTCAGTGAGGACGCTTCAAGCCCAATCATGGTAACGAGAGGTGGTTCCCTGGGTGTGTCTGCTTAACACACCACCCCTGACCTTACGTGCTTGTGTCTCCAACACTCCTCATCTCTGAAGGCTTCCTGGTGCCCAGCAGAATTTGCTCACCCCCTACGCCCAGACTTGCTCTGCCCTGGACCTCAGGCTTGGTCATCCTGTCTCTACTGTGGGTTGAGGAGAGATCTGAGTCTCCCTTACACGCCTGCCCCCGGTGGATGGTCAGACTGAGTAGGTGCTAAGTGTCAGCAGGATAAACTGAATGGCACCTGTGTGCTTGTACATGCCGGTGATGGGGAGCTCACTACCTATAAGGTCAGTCCCCTGGTGCAGAGAGCCGTCC